CAGCTAAAAAGGCCCAACTCTGCAAGACTGAGGTTACGTATTTGGGGTACCATCTTCGCCGAGGAGAGCGCACCCTCTCTCAGAGCCGGATTCAAGCCATCCTGCAGATCCCCACTCCAACCACCAAAAGGCAAGTACGGGAGTTCCTCGGGGCTGTCGGGTACTGTAGACTGTGGATCTTAGGCTTTGCAGAGATTGCTAAGCCACTGTACACCGCCACTGGGGGAAAGGATCCAGCCCTTACCTGGACTACAGCAGAAGAAGAAGCATTCAATGCACTCAAGACAGCATTGGTGAGTGCCCCTGCTTTGGCCCTGCCAGACCTTGAAAAACCATTTCACTTGTTTGTAGCTGAGTCCCGGGGAGTAGCGAAGGGGGTGCTAACCCAGACACTAGGTCCCTGGAGACGGCCAGTTGCCTACTTGTCAAAAAGACTGGACCCTGTGGCTGCTGGGTGGCCCGGGTGCTTACGCGCCATTGCGGCCACAGCCACCCTGGTAAAGGAGGCATCAAAGTTGACTTTTGGCCAGAACCTTCAAGTTACGGCTCCCCACAATGTGGAACAGCTATTACGGGCCCCCCCAGAAAGGTGGCTTTCAAATGCTCGAATAACCCAGTATCAAGTCCTCCTTCTTGATCCTCCAAGAATAAGTTTCCTCCAAACTGCTGCCTTAAACCCTGCCACGTTGCTGCCAGAGCCTAGAGAGGATGCCCCACTCCATGATTGCGGCGAGATACTCACGTCCCTGACTTCTCTAAGGGCGGATCTCACTGACATCCCTCTACCCGAGGCCGATGAGACCCTCTTTACAGATGGGAGCAGTTTTGTGGAAGAGGGCACCCGATATGCAGGAGCGGCCGTAGTCACTCTGGAAACTGTCATCTGGGCGCAAGCCCTAGGACATGGGACTTCTGCTCAAAGGGCTGAATTGATTGCCCTAACCCAGGCGCTCCGATGGGGAAAGGGAAAGAGAGTCAATATCTACACGGACAGTAGGTATGCCTTTGCCACTGTTCATGTACATGGAGCCCTATACAGGGAAAGGGGCCTCCTCACGGCAGGAGGGAAGGACATTAAAAACTCTCAAGAAATCCTGAACTTACTGTCCTCAGTTTGGGGACCCAAGGAGGTGGCAGTCATCCATTGCAGGGGACACCAGAAAGACAACTCTGAGATATCCAGGGGAAACCGTCTAGCCGACCAAACAGCTAGGGACATTGCCAAAAGACCAGTAGGGCCCCTGGAGGTCCTGATCCTCCAGAGGGATGTCACTCCTCCGAGCCCTCATTACACCTCAGAGGAGGAGGAACTAGGTCAGAAGCTCCAAGGGACAAAGAACGAAGGAGGATGGGTCCGCCTGCCCGATGGGAGGATCTTCCTTCCCCAGGCCTTGGGAAGGAAAATAGTTGAGCAAACACATCGGAACACCCACCTGGGAGGAACTAAACTGGCCGAGCTCCTCCGGAAGAGCTATTTTCTAAAGGGACTGTATAAACTCACTCAGGACATTGCTCGAAGATGCCACACGTGTGCCAGGGTGAATCCTAACCCTATTCAAGTTAGGGAACCTGGAGTTCGGTTCAGGGGAAGCACCCCGGGAGAGCACTGGGAGCTGGACTTTACGGAGCTACCTGCGGTGAGAGGAGGCTACAGGTACCTCCTTGTATTAGTGGACACCTTCTCGGGTTGGCCAGAGGCATTTGCCACCAGAAAAGAGACAGCGCAGGTAGTGGTTAAACAATTAGTCTCTGAAATTCTCCCCCGGTTTGGCCTACCACTATATCTGGGGTCTGACAATGGTCCGGCGTTCACCGCCCAGGTCACCAAACAATTGGCATCCTCTCTAAAAATTAACTGGAAACTTCATTGCATATACAGACCTCAGAGTTCAGGACAGGTAGAAAGGATGAATCGGACCCTCAAGGAGTTTTTAACAAAACTGAGACTCGAAACTGGCGGTGATTGGGTAAGTCTCCTCCCTTTCGCCCTCCTTCGGGCCAGATGTACCCCTTATTCACAGGGTTTTACCCCTTATGAGATCATTTTTGGAAGGCCACCCCCAATCCTTCCCAGGCTTGGGGAGGAACATCTCGGGGCCATTCACAACCAACATCTTCTTAAGTCATTGCAGGCACTCCAGCTTACTCGGAGAGCAATCCAGAAGACAGTCAGAGGAGAAGAGACAGGGAGAAGCCAAACTTCCAGAAACCCAGTCGTCGAACCTGGGGAGCTGGTCTGGGTTAAGAAGCTCAACCCCGGTCAACTTGAGCCTCGGTGGGACGGCCCATTCACTGTTGTCCTCAGCACCCCCACAGCGGTAAAGGTTGCAGGGAAGCAACATTGGATCCACCACACCCGACTGAAAAAGGCAGAGGGTGACCAGAAGGGAGAATGGAGAATCCAACCCACGTCCGACCCTCTAAAGGTCAAATTTTCCCTTTCCTAGTCGTCCTCATCTTGAGCCCTACAGGGGCAAGTTCCTCTACCCCCTCTCGGCCTACCCTCTATCGCTGGGAAGTTACTCGAACTCTAGATGGATCTGTAATAGCAAATACTACAACAGCCGGGTACCCTACCCTTCATTTTGACCTATGTAAAATGTTTGGAGAAGATTGGGGAAGATCGAGGAAGGGGAACTCTCTAAGATTTGGATACCGGGGAGGAGGAGGGGCAGCAGTCCAAGGCTACGGCTGCGGGGATCATAGCCTAGAAAAAGGACTATGGCACAGTGAACATTACATCTGCCCTCGGGAAGGTCCTAGTGAGTGCGGGGGTAAAGATAGTTATTATTGCGCTGCATGGGGATGTGAGACTCTTGCCCTCTGGACAACTAGAGATAGGGATATCAGATTCACCAGAGAGATACGCCCAGGGGCTCCAGACCAAGCTGGAACTTGCCGTGTAGGTAACTGCAACCCAGTGAAGCTCGAAATCATCACGTGGAGAGCAAGTTATTGGATGGGAGGGAAGACATGGGGCCTCAGACTCTACGTTTCTGGAAAGGACCCTGGGATTCTCTTTACAATACAAAGAAAATCCTTACCACATCAGGGAAGTCCTATAGGCCCCCTGAGACCCATTCTAGGGCCACCAACTCCCACCTATCATCCCCCATTGAACTTTTCCCCTAGAGTAGCAATTAGAGTAGCAAATAAACTGAAGCCTGGCCAACTGGACGCACCTCTCTACTTCCCCACGAATGTATTAAGAACTTTAGAAGCCATGTTCAGGTTCCTAAACAAATCCTCCCCCAACCTCACGGATGACTGTTGGTTATGTCTCAACCCTGAACCCCCTTATTATTCAGGGATTGCTGTTAACATCTCTCTTGGAGATACCCCACAGGACATAAAGAACATCTCCATGGATGCTGCGGAGGATCACTGCCAGTGGGGTCGTAACCCGAAACTCACCCTCGGGGATCTACAAGGACAAGGGACATGCTTGATGCCTGCTAATTACCCTCTGAAGGACTCTTTCTACGCCTCATCCTGCGCCTCCACCATCCTGCTACCGGAGGAGCCATCTCGGGGAGGAGCAGCCCTGCTGGCTGCCCCTGAAGGGACTTGGTGGGCTTGTACCAATGGGATAACTCCTTGCGCCTTTCCCCCGTTTCTCATAGACAAGGAATCGCCAGGCCTTTGCATCTTAGCACACATACTTCCTCAGGTCTATTACTTCTCTGGGGAAGGGGGCCGAGAACACTTAGGTCTCGCCCCAAACCGGGTTAAGAGGGCCCCAGTCCTTGTTCCCCTTTTACTGGGAATTGGAATTGCAGGATCAGCGGCTGTGGGAACATCAGCCCTTGTTAAGGGGAACCAGGACTACAAAGAATTGAGCCAACAGATAGATACTGACCTTAGCACTCTTGAGAGTACAGTCAGCAAGCTAGAAGGGTCACTGAGCTCCCTAGCTGAAGTTGTCCTCCAGAATAGACGAGGTTTAGACCTACTTTTTCTCAAACAGGGAGGGCTTTGCCTAGCCCTGGGTGAAGCTTGTTGTTTTTATACCAACCACTCTGGAGTCATAAAGGAGAGCCTTAGCCAACTAAGAAAAAGATTAAAGGAAAGGGAGGAAGCCAGGGCCAGCCAGGGGAACTGGTATGAAAACCTCTTTACGTGGTCCCCTTGGCTAACAACTCTTATTAGTGCCTTAGCCGGCCCCCTCCTCATTCTATTGCTAGCTCTAACTGTGGGACCTTGTTTGTTCAGATCTCTGGTAAGTTTAATACAATCCAGAGTCCAGGACCTTAAGATCATGGTTCTCCGAACTCACTACCATAACCTTGCTACGGAAGACAGGGAAGAGGATGAATCAAAGATTTGATTCTCCAGTAAGACCAGTAGGGAATGTGACTGTGACAGCAGGCCTAGCCTAAGAGATAAGGCCAGTTCTTTGTCCTGAGGGGCTAACCAGGGTGTGACAAACCATGTGACAGTCAATCTAGCGGGCCCAAGAGATAGGGCCAGTTCCTTGTTCTGAGGGATCAATCAGGAGTGACTTACCAGCAGTGGAATGGGAAGGGAGGTATAAGAGGAGGGACTGCCCCTCCATCAGGGCTCTCACCTGGGTGTTTGCCGGCTGCTGCGTCAGCCAAGGTTTGAGCCCGGATTCGAATCTGTAATAAACTCTAGCATGCTTAATCAAATTGGCTCCGGTGGTCCATCTCTTGGGGACTCGCTTCGTAACAGTGGGCTCATTTCCTTTCTCACCACCAAGCTATTCAACGTACTACCCTCCTTGCCTGAAGCCATTCCACCCTTGCAGCTTGACACAGTCACTGCAGGGAAGAAATATCTGCACAGCATACGTTCCAAGGGACCTGGCGAATATGGCATGCTGTTTTTAATATGTTTGCTCCCCTTCTTAGCGCTTATGTGCTCTTACCAGGGCCACCTCCCCTGGAAAGGCTGTTTCCCCAACTGGGAATGTTTTCTTAGAGTTGGGGGTTCATGGGACTAGGCAAGGGAATGAATCAGTAAAACCCCCTAGTGTCACAAAAAAACCACTGCAAATAATCCAGGCAGGCTCCTTATCTAAACATCTCATGCGAGCTATGCAAGCAGAAAGACTCAGACTAGGTGTCAGACAAATGGTTAACCACTGTAACTAAGAATAATCGTGCTTAAGCTACATAACCTTTGCTTAAGCCATAGAATAGGAAAACTTCCTGCAGTTATTTCCTTGTAGCTTAACAGTAGAGCAATAGAATAGTAACCTCACAACAGAAACAACAAACTAGCCCTTATAATGGAACATAGATACTAAACTTTAGAATAGAATATAGAAACATAGACAATAGATAAGATTAAAATCAGCAGAGCTAAATAGAAATAAGAATTTTAGCACAGGTCAAACAAGAAACTGTAAACATAAAACAAGAAACTGCAGTCCCAGCATCAGAGCAGGGACATTTCTGATAGGATCACCTGGCGGTTCCCAATTGAGGCTGCAAACTGACTGCTAAGAGCTTCCCTTCCACTGTCATTTGAGGTCAGGTAAGGGCATTGCAAATCAAGGCCATTAAAATAAGGATGAATGAGATCACTCAGTGGGAAGCTAGATTGCCTACCTTTTTCCTGTTGAATCATGTATCATTTAGAATTGTAGAAAACATCTCCTCTAAGGCAAAGATACTTCACAAAGAGAAAAAATGCGTAACATAAACACTGTGTTTATCCGGTGTTCCTGAGTCATGGGGATGGTTATCTTGCCTTTCTGCAGGCTGTTTTGACCCTTTTTTTTTTTTTTTTTTTTTTAAAGTTCCTGTTATGGTTTTTGTTCTTAACCTACAATGTGAGTACAAGAAGGTCAGCCAGCCCTGTGGGTCTGTAGAGAGCCAGGTGACAGGTCAGAGAAGGCCAGTGTTTTGAGAAGCTTGTCTCAGGTGTTTGCTCCGTGGGGAAGGTCATGCTGGCTCAGAGAGGAGCTCAGACAATACTTACAGAGAACAAGAGGAAAGGAAGGGAAGGGGATGCAAGCACCACTTTCTTTTTACCCACACACTACCTGGATACTGGCCATGTTTACGGTCTTCAAATTTGGTTTTACGATGCCTCGGGATAAATGGCTGTTTCAAAATTAATTACAGAAAATGTAAATGTTTTTTAAATAAAAGGCACTTGCTAATGCATCCTCCCTCAACCCAGAGAGAGGCTGTGGTAACCAGTTTACCCATGCTCAACAAGGTAAGGAATGCTGTTGACGTTTTCTGATTGCATAATGGGTGCCAGCACCTCAACCTACCACAGATAACAGTTTTGGCTGTCTGTGCCTTTAAGACCAAAGGAGGTAGAAATTCTAAGGGGGAAATTGAAGATGGCCTTGGCCTCTCTGGCCTTCAATCCAGCCTAGAGTGACTTTTTTCCCTGCTGGCCAAGGATCTGTCCTGAAATCTGGTCTTGTCTCCCTTAACAAGCTCTGCTTGCCCTTGAATCTGACTCTAAATTCTAATTTACACACACTGCTCAGATTAGACATCTCCTGTGGAGCTGCTCTAGCCTCAGACTCCAGACCCCTCCATCCTCCCTGCCCCAGCTCAGCCTCATGTCACACTTCCAAGTCTGACATTCGGCCCTACCCCTCCCCCGCACTTGCCCTTGGCTCCTGGCTTTGTGTTTCTCCTAACTCAGTCCTGACAGCTGGTGTCACTGATACCAATTCAGCATCTCCTTCCCTCCTGGGTACAACTGAGAGTCCTGGAGGGGAGATGGGGGCAGCCTATGCCCTCCAAGCTGTGCTTCTGGCCTCACCCAGGTATTAGAACAGAGCAGCCTGCCCAGCTTGGGCCCACAGCCCCATGATTCTATCCAAAAGCAGACCCAGAATTCTCTGCTTGGGAGGAGACCACACATGCCCATATTCAACGATTCATAATATAGGATCCTATAAGGATTGACCTATTTTGCAAAACCCTTAATTTTTTTATTTTCTTTGTTTTCTAGTTTTGTTTTGTTTTTTTCTCATCATCAACCCCTCCCTCGAAGAGGCTGAGGTATATGTGGTTCTGTATCAGAACCAGAATTCTCTAAGTTATGGCTCATGGGCATGCAGGGCCACTCTGTCCTGATTCTTGTCCCAGGATTCTGAATGTGTCTTCCCTCACAAAGAGCAAGATATCATCAGATTCATGTTTCATAAAATCACATGGCTTCAGTGTGAGGGTGGAGCAGAGGAACACAAGGCTGGAAAATTAAGAGACTTACAGAGTCATATTAAGAGTCCTGAGAAGGGACATTGAGGACATCTATTGTCCTTGAACATTAGTGATTATTTAGTTCAGCATAAGTAATTAGACAAAAGAGGCTATCAGAATAGTCTGTCTATTCCTCACCTTCCACTCCCCCAGCAGCCAAGTCTTGAAACTTATTGTTATTAAGACATCCACCAGCTACAGTGGGAGAGACTCTACCTGTCCACTAGAGCCTGTTTATGCCCTTATGTTGGTAACTTATTGGAAAATGAGTCCCTGAAATCAGACCAATCAGATAACTACCTTCTGCTGAGTAAAATCTATGGAATTAGAGGGAAACTTTGATTTGATCTCCATTTTTTAAAGGAAGAGGAAATTATTAGTCAATTCTTAGGAGTCTTTGGGCTTGAGGGTAATTGAGGTCACTTATGCCCGTTAATTGGCGCCTTTCTCTGACTTCCTACCAAGGCAATAAAGAGAGATTTAGGCCAAACCTGGAAAGCCAAGGAGAGAAAGGAAGTGTTTTAACAGAGGCAGGAAGGTTTGAGATTTCATTGAGAGGAAAATTATTTAACAAGAGCCTCGAAGACAGCATGACAGAGTGGGGCATAAAATATTCCTGGGACAGTGGGTGACAGCATTATTAGTTATAAATTAAGAGACACTAGAGTCAGAGGTACAAGTATGTTTATCACATAAGACTCTGTGTTATTAACAATAAAATAGAAGGACTAAATTACTCTTTGTTTAAACTTCCAAAAATTTGATTTACATGAAAACCATTTAAGAATATGAGCTGTTGGGGAAAGAACAAACAAATAACAACCCAAACAGAGAGAGGGAAGACACAGGTGAAGAAGACAAGAAAACAATGCTCCCTCATCAACAGTGAATAGGAGTTAAGATGAAGGAAGAAGAGAAGATACATGGCCAAGCATTAGGGACTCAAATTATTAAGCGACATCTTTCTTAACAGGGTGAAATCTATGGATATACAGTCAAGTTTAGAACAGCAGGAGAATGGGAAGCTATAAGATGAGGACAGTACAAAGTAAGGTTCGCTTATCTTTTATGATTAAGAGTGGCTTAAAACTGCACATTGAAAATCTGAGGCAATGTCTGGATCAACAGTAGAGTATTGCAGTTGATTAGTGAAGTTTCTCAAGGGCCCAGGGTTGGAGAATGGGCACAACTAATGTGAGAGAAGGAAATTCTACTTGTTTCCCGGTCTCCTTTACTGGCATTCTCCAAATTGGGGTTTAGGGTCGAAAGCCCAGCTAATACTAAAATAAATCTGGCTTTATCTTTGTCCTATACATTATTTATTATGAGGATTCCTATGGTGGATAGGTAGTATTCCTGGATCCCCTGGCATTGTAAAACCTACTCTTGATCCCCCAAATTTAATATGCTGATAGTTTGGATCTTATAGGGTCAGATAGCGCTTGCAGAGGTCTTGGTGGTAACTTGGGTAGTGGAATAGGAATGGGAACTCCAGGTGAGCTTCATTGAGCAAGAATTGTTCCTATGCTCCTACCCTCTCTCTCATCTGAGAAAAGTGCTGCTCAAGTTTCTTGTCCTACAACGCAGGGCATTATGGATCCTGATACCCCAGGCCAGGAGCACCTAGGGGGATTTAAGGACTTTAGTTGAAATGATTCACCTTCATTTAACACACAAGTATCCTGTGGAGGAGGTTGACGTTATCTATCTGAATCTCACCATTGCCTTCCCCCTTGACAGACAGAGATAGATGTTCAGGCATCCATGTGAAAAGCTTCTTGGAATAAAAGTAGATTGAGTATTGATTCTCATTTATGGACTCAGGATTCCCCCTCCAGGAAACAGGACAAGGAGTCTACATGGCAGACCCATCAGCACTGACCTTTCTCAGAATGACAAGGCCTAAATGTGAAAACACACACACACACACACACACACACACACACACACACACACACATACAAAATGCCTTTGGGTCAGAGCTCATTTTATTCCTTCATAAGAATATATAAATCAAAAACCTTGGCCAAGTGCAAAGTACCAGGTCAATAAAACTTTGGTTGTGTTGTAATGTTTTCTCTTTGTCATCAGGAAAATAAAACAAACAAGACAAAACCACCTTTTTAAAAAATAAAAATACACATTCATCTAGGTGAAATGGTGAACAACATAGACTAAAGAACAAGAATGGACCCAGAGATAAGGAGCCATGGGTCAGACTGTTGGACCTCAAAGGGAGGGTGGGGATAAAAGGGAGAGATCGACCAAAGGACTTGTGTGCATACATATGAGCTTAACCAGTGGTCAAGGACAATGGGGGGGGGGGGATGAGTGAGAAAGGGTGGGGGATTGGAATGGGGGGATGAGGACAAATATGTGATACCTTAATCAATAAAGAAATTTAAAAATACAAAAAATACAAAATTGAAAGACCACAAAATTATTTGTGTCTGTATGTTAAGTTCCTTTCCTACATAACATGTTTTGAGGACAGCACTGTATAACTCATTTCTGTATTCCCCCAAGTGTCTTGAGCTTGAAAGAATTGTTAAACTGAAAAGAGGAGTTGCATTGTTGAGTGGTAGAGGGAGCCCTCTAATTGCATTTGAGTTTGTTTTCTGCTGTATTCCCAGCCCCCTGAATGATGTCTGGTATGGGCAAGCTTGTAACCTGTCTGAGCCTTAGTTTTCTTAAAAGTAAAATGGGGTTACTTCATGCCTTTGCTCAACATAACTTTCTCTTCCAAGAATGTCCTTGACTCTCTCATTTCAAAACCTTGCTTGGGGTAACTTTCCCATTGAAGCTTTCCTTGACACCCTCTGTTTCCCAGGAATAAGTGTCATCTCCCTCCTTTGGGCTCTGCTAAATCCCATAATCATTCTATCAAGGCACCCACAGCCCTTCGTGACATTTACCTACTTACAAGTCTATCTGCCTCTGTCAAACAGTGACTTCCTAAAGGGTAGGAACTATAGAACTATATCTTCGTATTCACTCCTAGATGCCAGGAACAATGGAAACCTGATATAATTTCTGAGCGAATAAAAGAATGAATAATGAAGGTCTATAATCAGCTGAGCGATGTGATCCATTTGAGGTTTTAGAAAAATCTCCCTGGCATGGCAAAAAAAAAAAAAAAAAAAAAAACGGGGGGAGGGCGCGCTAGAGTTCAGAGGGGTTAGATAAAAAGCATCAAAACTCCTTGGAGCTCAGACACGATCTCCAAGATGCTTCTGTTAATTTCATAAGCAACCCAGGATCATGCACCCAATGTCTGAGTCTACAGAGAGGAAGACACAGAACACATGGCGTGAGGGGCCCAAGAAATAATTGCTGGAGCACAAAGCCCCTTGGGAATGGATCAGCCTTGGTGGGGTCCTGGGTGGGTGTGGTCAGAGATAGCACTGGTTGAGCAAGTGGGCACCTGAGACCCTTCATTCACTACACAGCTCTCCCAGGGTGCCTTGAAAACATCTTTTGCTCAAGGGTAGTTGGTAAAATAAGACTTGTTTCTCAAAAGCAGGGACACATCAGTCTTTTATTTGGGTCATGAGAGTCCCCAAACTAAGTGGGATATAGGGGTCACCGATGCCCAACACTGCCTGGAGAAAAGGAGGACATGGAGGCAGCATCTAGTCTTGTCCTCTAAGCAGGGTCATACAGGAGCAGATGTTATCCCAATATTCTATCTTTTAAAAAACTTTATGGGGGTATGGATTATCTAAAATAAACTGTACTCAGCTAAAGCATACAAATTGATGAGTTTTGACAGATTATACACCCATTAATATGAACTGAACCCTGACCAACTCATATGAAATTCATATGTTGAAGCCCATGCTCCCCAATGTGTTTGCATTTTGAAATGGGGTCTATAAGGAGATGACTAAGGTTAAATGAGGTCAGAGGTGAGGCCCTGCTATGATGGCACTTATAGTGTTCTTATAAGAGGAAAAGTCAGCAGAGCTCACCTGCCTTCCCTCCTTATTACCCCCTCCCTTTCTCTCTCTCTGGGCCAGATGAGCACACAGGCAGAAGGCAGCTGTCTACAAGCCAGGAAGAAAGCTCCCTCCAGAACTTGATCATACTGGCACGCAGATCTCAGACTTCCAGCCTTCAGAAAATTGTGAGAAAATAAATTTCTGTTGCTTAAGCTATACAGCACATGACAGTGTGTTATAGCAGCCTGAGCTGACTAATACACCCATGAAATCACCACTCAAGATATAGAGCCATTCCATTGTACTCCTGTCTTGTTATTCTTGTTTACAATACATGAAAACTCTAACCTTAACATCAGGAGAGAGATGTCTGCTGTAGGAAACAGTGCTAACCTTTCTAAAATGCCCCTTGAAATGATCTGTTGCCTATGATATCATTATGCCAAATTCTAATGAAGAAAGAAGCCATTATGCTTACGGCAATGAATTCATGCTAACTCAACCCTGAGCATCCAATTAAACTGGTCATAGTTATAGCTCTGAACTGGTTCTGATAACCTGCAAAAATCTTCCAGATGAAGCTTTTCATCAGTAGCAATAGGTTCCCTAAGAGGAGAGAATTTCAGAATGTTTTGGAAAAGGGAAGCCTTTGATTTTTTTGGCCTCTTCCTCCCTCACTTCTCAGAAGCCAAATTCCTTTCTCCTCCTTCTATAAATGTTAACTTAACCCTTGTCATTCCTCTGAGACCTCTGCCCCAGGCAGAGTCATGCAGCAGACTGACTGGCAGAAAGCCTCCTGTGCTCCCTGCTGTGCCCCTAGGCCTGAGCGGTGTCCACCAAGAGCTGCTGCACGGGAAATGTTTGAGGAGGGAATTACTGATTAAATGAACTGAAAAGGAGTTGGCCAAAGGAATGGCAGCCCGATGACCCAGAGCTGGATTTTAATGCACATTAATGCAGCCTGGAATGTCATCTGGTTAGTTGTCTTTTGATATTTATCAGGTCTCTGGGCCAGCAGAGCTGGCAGAATAGAGAAAGTATTCTCTTTCCTAGAGGAAATGTCCTGGCCACTGTATGTCCAAAGCCCCTTTGCTTGGTCTCATCCACACTTCTCACACCATCTCCCACCTCCCTGCAAGTACCCTGTAGAGCAGATACCACAACTGCTTATTAAAACTTAAATTTATTGGTTATGCTGAGAGGCAAATGATTCATTCTGTAGTGAGTTTCTTTCTGGGCCAACAGTCCTTTTGAGTCCCAATTTCAATATCAAACAGTTCCTTATGTGTACATGTCAGCAACGCATTTGCCTCTCAGAATAACCATTACGGCTTGTCTCATTTTTGGTTCTTATAAGTGTATTCCTTGTATCACATGATCTCATGCATCTAGGGGAAATAATGAACAACATAAACTGATGAACAAAAACAGACCTGGAGACAGTTAAGCATCGATCAGACTACCAAACCTCAGAAGGAGGGTAGGGGAGGGTGGAGGTAAGGAGGAGAGATCAACCAAAGGACTTGTGTGCATGCATATAAGCCTAACCAGTAGTCATGGACAGCAGGGGTTTGGGATGGGAATGGGGGGATTAGGACAATTATGTGATACCATAATCAATAAAGAAATTAAAAAAAACCCTTACATGTATTGTATGTTCTGTCTCTATTCTGCCCAAATCCAAGCTCTAAATCTCCTTTCCTTTGGAACCTTCTCTGACACCAATCTCACAGCACACTGTTTGCATGACTACTGCAGGTTCTTATGTGGTTTCTAATATCTGCCTCTGGTTTGACTTTCACACTAGATACTGAGCCCCTGAGGAATGCTGCTGAGTCTTAATAGTGTTATAAGCCCACCACCTAATTCAGCACTAAGTCCATAAAGGCTCTCAATAAACACTTGTAGAATTTAATTGCCCAATAAACTCTCTCCCTTTCTCTTTCCCACGTTTACCTGGAAATTCCCTTTAGATGATCTCAAAGTCAACCTTAATTAGACCTGTGTACAGTCCTTCTGCCATATAACATAATCTAATTATGAGTGCTGCCCCATCAGATTCATAGTTTCTGCCCACACACAAGGGGTCACTGGGAGTCACCTTAGAATCCTGCTCACCCCGCCTACTCAGGCTGTTTCCCCCATTTAATGTCAGTTTCCTTGGCTGGAACACAATAATAAATAAATCTACCTCCTACACTTATGATGAAGATTAAATAAAAGATACAGGGCCACTTGGTGACAGGTCTTTTCTCTTCCTATTTTGTCTGGGCTTCCATCTCATGACTATTCCCAGGTTACCCAGAGAACACACACCAGCTTGACTATGTGCCTATGAAGTGTCTCTATGAGACCCTTAGTGGCACATGCAGACTTAAAAAAGAAAAGACTAATTGATTATAACCAGTGATCTGATTTTTGGAGAACAGAAATAGTTGAGATCTCTAGGATTAGCCTATGACTCAAGTGATGATGATCACTTGAGATCCAAGCTTCGTAAGTATATTACTGCTACAAAGTCTCAAACCTTTGTTTGTCTTCATAAAACAAAAACACTTGCCCATGCCACCTGAATTTTAATGAATTGGATGACATGAGAAAGAAAGCCCACAACACTGGGTTTTGATGAGCTAGATGCTTTGAGCCCAGCCATAAAGATGCTACTGGCTTTTAGATACAGTGGATACTGGGTAAGGCTAAGTTGGTCCTCTTCAGCTCTCTTTCTCAGACAGGCCTTGCTGCAAGTAACTACTGCTTATGCTAACTGTCTGCCCAGCTGCCTGGGGACCTTCACAGTAGTGTCCCATATTGTTCTCCCCTGGACATTATTTTTTTAAATATATTTTATTGATTTTTTACAGAGAGGAAGGGAGAGGGATAAAGAGCTAGAAACATCGATGAGAGAGAAACATCGATCAGTTGCCTCCTGCAGGCACACTGGGGATGTGCCCGCAACCAAGGTACATGCCCTTGACTGGAATTGAACCTGGGACCTTTCAGTCTGCAGGCCAATGCTCTATTCATTGAGCTAAACTGGTTTCAGCTCCCCTGGACATTATTGATTCCTCTCCACAAAACTTATCACTCCTGTGTTGTAGCCCTTCAATGCCCCACTTGGCCCCTGACTAATTAGGTACAGGATGAATAAAGATGTCAGCCAATCAGAACAGCTGAATATGACAGCCTCTTCCTGGTTACATCTGCACTCCCCAGAGACCTTCTGTGTTATTCAACCAGAGTATACTTATTCCCTTTCAGGTTTAGCTTCCCCAAACACTAAGAACCACAGATCCCACCAGCTGCAATAGAAATCTACTGCTTACAGAGCTCAGGGCGGTCTGGGAGAAATGCCTACAGAGATTCTGGTTCCATCACTCCACCACCTCACCCTAGATGGAAA